GGCAAAAATTTGGTCACATACATTGCCAACACCAAGGAAATTGTTTTTTTGATGATCAGGAAAGTCTCGGATAAGATTGAACTAAATGGCAACATGTACTCGGTCGGTTTCCGCCACTTGATGACCGAGAACGAGATCTATGAGTGGAATGAAGCCCAAAAATTTCGATACTTTCGGGTGAAGGCAATCCAGGTTCCAATATCAATCTTACCACATTTGAGAGGAGCAATTCAGAAGGCCTTTGGCAGAATTATCAAAGTACATGAGGCCTTTACAGACCCAATTTCCCCAGATCTTTGAAATGTAAGGTTCGATATGGAGGTTGTTGAGCGCGTTTGGTATAAGCAACACCTCATCATTGATTTAAAGGAAGATGGGGGGGTAAACTTAAACATTGCATGCTATGATTCTCTCTGGTGTAAAAAGTGTCGCCGCTCTTTTCACTAAGATGAGGATGAGAATTGTCCCATCAACATGCGGTTTGTTGCACGAAGGAAATCCTTCAAAGAGGCGTTAACAGAAGATCGTATGAAGCATAATGTGAATAAATCAAAAGATTCAATGGACAAACAAAGAACCAAGAAACAGAAAGGGAGCCAGGATCCACATGACAAGGCGAGTAACCGCCAAGATCCATAGGAAGAAGATAATGGTTTTGACGATGGCCTGACAGTAAACCATAGAAGGGCAAACTCCAAGCCCGCTGAGGTGGCAGATGAAATCCCAGACATCCGGGGTGCAAGAGTTATCCGTGGTTCTATAATAGGGAAGGAAAAGAAACCTCTCTCCAGAAAAACATAAGGCATTTTCAGAGAAAAAATGATGGAGACCTCTACCTTCAAGTTGTCAGAAGACTCATCCAAGAGAAAGGAATGGAAGAGACCAGAAAGCAGAGAGGGAGGTGTGGGGAGGGGCAAAGACAAAGAGAGAAATCAAGGGGAGGAAAGTGTTGCCAACCAGGGCAGTCAAGGCTCGATGGAGATGGACATATCCTCCTCCTCCCCCCCCTCCCTCTGTGCCTTTTCCCCCTCCCCCCCAGTCACCCCCCCTGCCCCTCTCCTCCTCCACCATAACTGATTTTCGAAGACTCGAAGGAAAAGACAGAAGCAACTTTGATGGGTTTCGCTCCCGACTCAGCTCAAGGTCAGGTCCCCGATCCTCCATGTCCCCTCCCCCCGAAGGATGCTATTCCTGAAAAGCCCGATCACACCCCTACCAGTGAGGAGGGTAAGGATGGGAAAGCAGAGGATGGGGATGACAAGAAGGTCAGGGGAGGAGTAGAGAAGAATGGGATCTTCACGGCTAAACCATCTCACCAGGGGATCTTAGCCAAAAAAAAAAAAAAAAAAAAAAAAAAAAACGGGGGTTAAAAGGCGCACGGATTCAACAAGAGGCAATAAAGACGTCATGAGCCCTCTGATTGTGCAATCTGGCCCATCCAAGAAACTCAAATCAAAAGATGCCTCTGCCATCCCTCGTCCCTCCTCCCAATAGGAGAAAAGGGTGAAGGATTACTCATTATATAAAAAAACGAGACCCCTTCAGCAAAAAACGACAAAAATAGTCTTGAGCTTCGCCAAACTTATTTCAATCTTGTCTCGTAAGGACAAGTTATCGAGGAAAATTTCTCAGTTCTTAGTCCCACTCATTGTTTTGAAAGGAAGCTCGGGAACATAAATTCTCACAGCACAGGGTAAGGACGCCTCAATAATGCTGCCATCCATCTCTGTGCAATCACAAGCGTCGAATTCTCTGGCAGTGGATCTGACAAAAATCAGGTTCTCAAAACTGCAGGTAAAGCGTCGGGCTTCCTGCAATTCAAGATGGGCCGCCACACAATACTGGCAAATGCCAGCTATATGATCCTGTTACACTTGGTCATCCTGAAGCTCGGTGATTGGACAAGACGGATTGGCTCAGAGAACACTTACCCGCTACAATGGACAGGATTGTCCCCGTTGCTATCTACCTCCTCCTCAGAGTTAGCTAAGGCCAGAATTGAGTCGGATATCCCGACAGGTCACATTGTAGAATGGATAGCCCAGTCCTCAGATCTAGGAGTCACTGGCCACAGATCATTTTTTGAACCAACTCTTGACATGGGATATACAACAAAATCCCTCTTCTTTAGACCGCATCCATGACATGAGTGGCTGAGACCACAAAAATGGTCTTGCCGAACATGATTAAAAACGTAAGTTGGAACTTACAAGGGTTAGGGGATACCTCCAACCTCACCAGACGACCCAAATTTTGTACATGGGTGCACAAAGATAATCCACATTTCGTATGCGTTCAAGAAACTAAATTAAATGAGGAAAAAATTACTAACAGGTTGGCTTGGTGGTCGGACCCACAGTATTGGGCCCCAGCAGAAGGCTCCAAGGGTGGGGTGGCCATCCTTTAAGTTATCCACAAGGACCTTGAAGTTGAGGCCCTAGACACATACAAGGACCCCAATGGTAGATGGATCTGGGTGAAACTGGCTGTGGGCGAGGAAGATTGGGCAGTAATGTCGATGTATGCCCCAAAGGACTATGCTGATAGAACCAAAATTTTCGCCTCCTTGTCAGCGTTCCTTCCAGAAGTAGAGAACCTTATCATTGCAGGTGATTGGAACTCTACCCTCGACCCCGACATGGACTCCCCCCACCCTACCCCCGTCCGTCATGGCGCCCTGATGCTTTCTTTTTTTATGGGAGGCCCAATGTCGTGCAGATGTCTTCAGAGTGCTGAACCCTAAGACCCCAGGCCACACATGGTATGGACCCAAACCGTCGCCCACGACAATTTAGCCTAGTCGAAGGTTATACTTTATTCTTGCAAGAGGGGTAGTCTGGGATCGACTGTCTGGGTGTGACTTACTCCATCAAACACTATCAGACCACTATCCGATATGCATGGAGATACTGACTAAGAGCAACTTTATAAAGTTCGTCCTACGTTCGGATTGAATACAAACATGCTTAAATACGAGGGTATCCTGGCCTGGGTTAAAAACCAAATGGCCAAATGGGTTGATGCCAAGGACCTTTTCCGTCACAAACACAAGTAGGCGGAAACGAGGCTGGGTATCATCACATTAGCTGTAAAGGTGTTTTCAATAATAAAAACCGCCAACAAAACATGGGCCGAGATATGCGCCCGCTGAGCAATAATCGAGGCAGAAAACAACTTGGGTAAAGACCCCTTCTCAGACCACTACTGGTCGAAGAAACGAATGGAGAGTGTAACTCAACTGGAATAATAAAAATTAAGAAGCAAGAAGATTGGATTCAATGGCTAAGGATCAAAGGATTGGTCGGCTATGATAGAATGACAAAAAACACCTTTAGGTCACTCATCCTATGTTAAACCAAGTCTGTATTACGAGAGTTATCCCACCCCTTCAATCCTCACTTACCTCAGGCGTTGAACACGGAAGACATGTGCAAGTATGCCATGGATTACTTTATGGAGATTATATCCACCAGGAGACCACTAGATTCGTACGTAATAGACCTCTCAGCTATCCCGGACTTTTGGGACGGCATCCCGAGCTCTATCTCACATGCCACAAGAGACTGCTTAGATGCGTCATTCTTAGCAGTAGAATTGCACCAGGCGGCAAAAAAAATGGATACAGGCAAATGCCCTGGGTCAGATGGTCTGCCTATTGAACTGTTCTTAAGTGCATGGGAGGCTTTCGCCCCTTTCCTCCGCCAAATCTTTAACAACACTCGTACCTCCGGTGCCTTACCAAAAGGATGGTTCAATGGTATTATCTCACTACTCTATAAAAAAATGAGATAAGAAAGACGTGAGGAACTACACGCCCATTTCGGTACTGAATATGGCCTATAAAATATTAGCTAAAACCCTAGCCATAAGGCTTGTTGATGTCCTACCAGGAATAGTTGGGATAGAATGAGGAACCTTTGTAAAATGACGCTCTATTTTTGATAACATCTTGTCCACAATGCAGGCTCTGGAGATCCTATCAAAGAAGAAGGTCAACTTGGCTATTCTCCCCCTGGATATGGAGAAAGCTTATGATAAAGTGGGATGGTCTTTTGTCTTCACCACTCTGACCAAGATGGGATTTGGCCCCGATTTCTGCACATGGGTCAAAGCTATGTACACAGAAGCCTCATCGGTTGTCATGGTAAATGGTCGTTTGTCCCCCACCTTTCTCCTCACTCACTCACTCAGGCAGGGTTGCCCCCTAGCCCCCCTACTGTTCGTCATACGACTAGAGGTCCTATTGGCCAACATCAGAAGAAATGACGAAATTAGAGGCCTCAACATCCCTTACTCTATCCATTGGAAAGGGGGTGCGCAAGCGGACGATTTAACAATGGCATGTTCACACTCGAACTCATCGTTCATGGCACTAAGACGCATTCTGGACGATTATTGTATTCTGTCAGAAGCATCCATCAATAAAGAGAAATCAGTTTTTCTTCTCCTGGAGCCATTTAAAATTTGTGTGGATTGAGGCCTAAAGAAGATCACATAGAACAACTCCGATAGATTCCTTGGGGTCCAAGTTTCGCTGTTGGACTGCATTGAGACTCAAGATGCAATAATGGTTGACAAAGTAACTGCAAGGATAATGGGATGGGCTCATAACTTTGAACTATCCCTGTTTGGGAGAGCACTGGTGATTTCTACGGCGGCGTTCTCAATACTTTGGTTTCATCTCACAGTCCACCGATTGGGGGATGAAGCATACCAAAGGATAAAATATATTGCGGCCAGCGGAAATTTGCCGCAAAGCAGTGGGGTCCACCTCTAAGTGACATCTTCCCTTGGCAAAAGGTCTGATGCAGTTGTCCTCCCAGAGTGCCTCCCTTTCCGCCAGCAATCCCGTTGGCCAATGGCGAGGTAGATGCCTCGCCTTCTACGCTACGTCCTCTCTATCCTATCCCTTCGTGCTATAGGGAAAAAGTTTTTCTCTGTATTATCGCTATGCTCGAGGGACGCGGGAAACCGGGTCCAGCGTCCGTTTCGCATAACGATAAAGCAAAAAGGGGGCGGGGTTTTCAACAGGACTTCATCGGGCTGCGGTAACAAGCTCGAAACTGCGGGGGGCGGGGTTTTCAACAGGACTCCATCGCGCTGCGGTAACAAGCTCGAAACTGCGCGCAGGCGAGCCGCGGGGTGGCGGGTGCCACCGGGCCACGGGAACGTAGAGGGAATCCGTAAGGCGGGGGGGACGCATGCCCAAGTTTGTGGAGAGTTCCGGACGGAAGTGAATGTGAGGAGGAGGCGCACGAGCAGGCTGGGAAGGCTCTCTCTCTCTCTCTCTCTCTCTCTCTCTCTCTCTCTGTGAGTACGTCAATCGTGTTTTTTTTTTCAAATTTAACGGGAGGTTTGCGGGTGAAAGTGCCCCCGCTCTCTCTCTCTCTCTCTCTCTCTGAGTACGTCAGTCGTGTTTTTTTTTCCAAATTTAACGTGAGGTTTGCGGGTGAAAGTGCCCCCCGTGTGTGTCTACATCCATTCGTCATTACTTAATTTCAGAGCGCTGCAGGTACAGTTTTTAATTTTATTTTTTTTTGTGCGTGCGTGCGTGCGTGTGTGTGCGTGTGTGTGTGTGTGTGTGTGTGTGTGTGTGTGTTGTGCTGTGTGTCCTTCCCCTCTCCGCCCCTCTTCTTCCATCCCGCTGCCGCAGCGTAGCTGCGGCGGGCAACCACTTGCTGTTGAGCATCGTCACGATCTGATAGAGTCGGTTTTTGGACAATTCGAAGAGCACATATTACTAATTGCCACGGTTGGTCAGCCAGCCACACCCACAAGTATAGGCGTGCGCAGTGTCTAGACTTTGAAGACAGTGTGCTCGTTGCCTTGCATCACGCATCTCCGACTTAACCATCCGTTCCACCTGCCATTACTCTAAAAAAATTCTTCAACCCATTCGAACGTCATACAAACGTCATTCAGAAGAGTTCCTCTCTTGAACCGATCCCTCTCCCCTAGTCATCACTCTCTATCATTATTGTGTGGAACCCACCCTCCCGTCTCTCATCATGACAAAGAGGACAGCTAAGGTTTCAGTTCGGAACGACACGTCCTCCCCACTCTTCGGCGTTGGAGTGGTTCACAAATACAGTGACAACTACAAAAATTCACACACCTGGAACGTAATCCAGCCCGGCGGGCGCGGAGAGCCCTTTTTGGAGGTGGAATATAACACAGGAGCCTTCACGACAGGGAGGGACTGGTGGGCTGTCACGTGGATGAGCGGAGACACCAGTACACTTTTTTACACGGACCCGAAGAACTTTCGGTCAATCTTCGACAGCTTGGAGAGTGTCTTGCCAGATGTTGTTTCCGCGGTAGCTGGTGCTGCAGCCGGGTTAGCCACAGCCGAGACCGGTCCGGGTGCGCTTATAGCAGCTGGTGCCGCCGCCGCCGGCTCCAAGGTCATTTGTAATGCACTCTTCAATTCCGAGGGCACCACCGGGTTCAAGCAGCATATCTTGCGCGCTGAAGACGAGAATGCACTTACCGAGATAATTGTGCACGGTAATATGACCGTAACTTTTCGCTCCAACTCGGGAGTTTCCGAGACGGTCGTATCTTCAAAGCGGGTGAGGTAGAGGAGCAGGTATCGAAAATGACGGACAAATGGGTAAGTCGGCCATCGGAGGGGCATGCTGCAAAATGAGTGAAAAAAAACAGGGGCATATCCAAAACTATCCCTTTCAAGTAACCAAAAAAAAAAAAAAAACAGGGAACGAAAAGGTTCAAAACTTTTTGCTCGCTTGTGAGAAGGCCAAAATATTTCAGGATGGTCATATTTTATATCGAGGATGAGAGACTGGGATAATGTTCCTATAATAATAATATAGAGGAAGATTCTGTTTTTAGTTGTTCTTGAGGGCGGGAGGGTGGTTGATTTAAGGAGGGAAAAAAGGGACAAAAAATAAAAAAGGATTTGGCTGCTAGGTGGGAAGATCATATATTCTTCTCTCAACTTCTGTTTCTTTACCTTTCACTACCTACTGCTAAGACTATCTAGAGGGGACCCCTGCAAGCATAGTTTCCTCTCTCTGTGAAGGGGAGATTTCATGTTGTCCCTTGCCCCTAATGGTTAGGGTATAGGGTTGGGGCCGTGAAGGGTGGGGGACGATGAGAAAGGGAGGCACAGCTACTGGCAGGTCTCGGAAGATCATATTTCAGGATGGTCGTATTTTGTATCGAGGATGAGAGACTGAGATAATGTTCCTATAATAATAATAATAATAATATTATAGAGGAAGATTCTGTTTTAGTAATTCTTGAGGGTGGGAGGAAGGTTTATTTAAGGAAGGAAAAAAAAAAAGAAAAAAAGAAAAAAAAAAGAAAAAAAAAAGAAAAAGAATTTGGCTGCTAGGTGGGAAGATCAGTCAAGTGCTGAATGAGACTATAATGAGGGCACGTGGGGAGGGAAGGAGGAGATATTTAATGCAGATGGAAGACCTGTGGTGCGTGATGAACTGAGATCAGTGCTTCACACAAGGAACAGTATTATTGGCATGCACATTTTATGCGGACTGATTGGAAAAAGAGAGGCAAACAATCCCTAGGATTCCAGTGTTATCAGCTGGCAGGCCTATAGGCTATAGGTAGGTCTGAGAGAGTATTCTATAGATGGCAGGCCGACAGTTAATCCCCTATAGCAATGGGGCAATCAATGCTGTTCAGGGTCCCTTCAGCCGTACGGAAGGGAGCTTGGGTGTGTTACTGTACTCTGTACATTTTTGACTTGCCGGTGGAAAAGGAACCGGACTGATGCTCCCCAGACTCCCCAGAGTGGAAAGAGCCAGGACCATAAGGTTCTGTTTGAAAAACAAAAAAAAAAACAAAAAAAAAATGCAAACTTGATCTTTTTTTTTTGGGAAAATTTGTCTGGCCGACTCTGGCGCCCCTGTAATTTCCATTATTTTGCGTCGCGCCCCTCCCACGGTCGATTTACCCTGTCACGCCCCTCTGACCACGATTAAATTTCCCATAAAACCCCGGTGTCAGTTGGGCCTGAAATATTTTTGTTATGCCCCTACCGGTACCCGGTCCAAATTTGCAGTATGCCCCTACTGGATTGCTGTTGAGTAGCAGCAAAAAAAAAATCCATATGCCCCAACCGGTAGGGTGCATCTTTTCAGCACATCTCTATGGCTAAGCGTATGGCAGCCACTTCATTTCTCTTTCTCTCTCTCTCTCTCTCTCTCTCTCTCTCTCTCTCTCTCTCCCCACACACACACACACACACGCATGGCGGCCTCTTCATTTCTCTCTCTCTCTCTCTCTCTCTCTCTCTCTCTCTC